GCTGTGGAGCTGGGCCTGGCCACATGGGAAGGAGCTTGGAGGAGGGGCTGCCTGCGGGCGCCCCAGGGGACGGTGGGGTCAGGAGGCCCCTAAGGGATGCGGTCTGGAGTGTGGCCAGCAGAGGGAGCCACCTGTTCCAGGCTGAGGTGTCCTGAATCTACACCCCGGAATCTGTATCCCAGGGTGTAGATTCCTGTGGGGCCTGAGGGAGGCAATGTTCAGGGGTGAAGCTGAGAGCTGCCTGCAGGGCTTTGAATGCTGGGCCAGGGAGCTGGTGTCCATGGCGATGGAGCTTTTCAGCTGTAGACATCTGAGAGCAGGGAGACAGCCTAGTGAGCCCTTGTGTCCGTCGCTCCATCTCAGCAATTGCTAACTCTTGGTTGATCTTTGCTTCCTCTGCAGACCTCTCTCCCCTAGTGTGTTAGTAGCTCAGTTGCGTCTGACTCTTTGTGACCCCATGGACTGTAGCCCGTCAGGCTCCTCTGTCCATGGAATTCTCCAGACAAGAATACTGGAGTGGGTTGGCATTCCCTGCTCCACGAAATCTTCCCGACCCAGAGATTGAACCCTGGTCTCCTGCATTGCAGGTGGATTCTTTACCGTCTGAGCCACCACAACCCTCTCTCCTGAGGCAGCATATCATTTCCTCTGTAAATATTTCTGGATGCATCTCTGAAAGATAAGGACTTGTTTGAAACAAAGAAAAACCCCGTAAACATAATACTGTAACGTAGCTGAAATAATTTTACCACCATCAAATATCCAGCAAAAGTTCTGATTTCCGGTTTGTGTCATAAATGTTTGCATGGATGTTTTACAGTTTGAATAAAATCCAAACAAAGGTCCATTACTTCAGTCTGGTGGTTCTCCTTCATCTTTTCATGTTTTTTTTCCCCTGCAATTTATTTGCTGAAGACATCTCACTTATCCTGTGGAGTTTCCAACCATCTAGATTTTGCAGGCTATGTTTTCAGGGTGTTGACTAATGTTTGTACTCTGCATTTCCTGTGAGGTGGGACTTACCTCTGGGGGCATAATAAGGTTCAGGCACAATGTTTTTGGTGCAACTGCTTCATGAGTGAAGTTCTCTCAGGCGGTACATCATCTCTGATTGTCTCTCTCTTCTGTGACATGGAAACCATCCACATTCCTAAGTGGAGTTTAGAAGCCATGATTGCCTAAATCCATCATTTGTCAGTGGTTGCAAGAGAGTAGGAGGGTGATAGTCTTAATTTCTTCCTCTTTTCTTAGCTGGGATTCATCACCAGATAAAGGCCTCCCTTCATCTTTATAGTGGTTACTTTAAAGTGGTACTTTATAACACTGTATAGAAAAGTCAGGATTTTTTTCTCCCCCTTCACTTTCCAGTTTCAAAAAAATCAGTTGATTCCTTGCCACCCTCCACTAGTGACTAATTATTTGTTTGTGTTAGTATCATCATGATCTCATGAATTTGAACATATTGGATGTGTTTTCACTCATCACAGTCATTGTCCTTATGGCTGCTCAGCTTGGCCCGTCTATGGCTAGTAGGAGCTTCTTCAGATTGGTCCTTAATTTTTTGATTACCTCCTTAATTTCTTGCATGACCGGATGTAGTCTAGAGCAGCGGTCCCCAATCTTTTTGGCACCAGGGATCTGTTTTGTGGAAGACAATTGTTCCATGGATGGGGTGGAGGGGAGATGGTTACAGGGTGATTCAGGTTCACTACAGCAGGGTTCTTGCTCCTGTGAGAATCTAATGCCGCCCCTGATCTGACAGGAGGCGGAGCTCACAGGTGGTAATGCAAGCTATGGATGTTCACGTGCTTAATCACTCGGTCGTGTCTGACTTTGCAACCCCATGGACTGCAGCCCATTAGCCTGCTCTGTCCATGGAAATTTTCTTCCAAGCAAGAATACTGGAGTAGGTTGCCATTTCATCCTCCAGGGATCTTCCCCACTCAGGGATCGAACCCACATCTCCTGCATTGCAGGTGGATTCTTTACTGCTGGGCCATCAGGGAGGCCTTCATGGGTGGCTTGTCAATACAGATGGACACTCCACTCGCGGGCCTGCCACTCCTGATGTGTGGCCTGGTTCATAATAGGCCATGGCACTGCTCCATGGTCAGGGAGTTAGGACCGCTGGTCTAGAGGGTGTTTGGTTTGTATGCCTGTGGCAGCTCACCCTCCTCTCACTCCGTATCCTGGCGGGCAGAGGTAGGGGCTGAGGGGTGAGAAGGCTGGCCTGGAGGTCAAAGGCTGTGATGTGGGAAGGAAATTGAAGCCCACAGGGATCCCTGACTCTGCATCACAGGCCCTGGAGCCTCATTAGCTGCCTCTTGAGTCACAGAGAGTTCAGAGCCAAGCCCTGGGTTTGCCTAATGATCCTCTTGTGGCCCCAGTGATAACTCTCAGCTCCTGTGAGGGCTCCCCCCAACCCCATCCCATGCAGTCCAGAGCTTTCAGAGTGGGGAGGAGTGGAGGCGGGCGCAGTGGCTGAGCCAGTGTTCCCAGCTTATGGCTCCCCATTGCTCTGGGCCCCTGCATGCACCGCAGTTTTGACACACTTTTCTGTCCTGAAACCAAGTGTGAGGAAGCATGACAGGGATTGGGACAGAGGCCAGCCTAGGAGTTTTCATTGAGAAGGGACGCAGAGGTGACTGCAAAGGGACCAGCTTGTCTCGAGTCCCTGCTGGGTTCTGGACGCTGTTTAGGCTCTGAAGCTCTGAGTGTGAATCCTGCCTGTGCCCGTGGGTGGCCTCTGCCTGCGCCTTCCTGCTCCGCCCCTCAGAAGACTGCCCGAGTGTTCTGGGCACCGTGGCCCTTAGCAGGGCTCCATTGGTGGCTGGGGCACCTCTTACTGTGCTAAGCAGTTTCATTTTCTTGGTCTCAAGTGTCCCACTAGGGAGTGTTTCTCTTTGCTAGCATCCCTGTTGATGGTAAGAGGCGTGTAAACAAAAGCATCCTTAATGAGGGTGGGGGTTGGGAATAGATTTTGGCCTCCATCTCTGTGTTCAGGCTGGTCTGTGTCGGGGTTTACAGCCTCCTGATACATCTCGGGCTTCTCAGCTCAGATGCCTGCGTGCCCGCCCCCATACCTGGGAGTGATTTTCTTCTAGAAGGAACTTCTTATGGTCTTGATGGGGTTTGGCTCTTCTGGGTCCTGTGTTCAGAAGGGCCAGCAGATCCCTTGACTCGGTAGGGTGAGGTGTTACCCTGCCTTCCACTTCCTGCTGCCCCAGGTTGCCTCTCTTTGTCTGCATCTGCTCAGGAGGGATCAGCTCTCAGGACAGCCGCTCAGAAGCTGCTGCTGGCCCTCCAGAGTCGGGCCCACCTCTTCCTTTTCTCCATAGCCCACCATGTGCCCCGTGTCAGCCTCAGCACTTGCCTGCATGCCTGCCTTTCCTTCTAGACTGGGAGCCTGCCAAGGGCAGGGACCATGTCTGAATCACCTGGGTCCTTGGTGCCAGCATCCCTCTGGGTGCAGAGTGGTGCACACTGATACAGAACTCAGTATTTGGAAACAGATAGACCTGGGTTGAATCCTGGCTTCAAACCCAGGCCTGCCTGCCTCCAAAGGATGTGTATATTTTCTAGTTATGTGACCCCGGACAAGTTGCGTGCCCTTCTGAGCCTTGATTTTCTCATCTGTAAAGTAAGGATGGTTATAATAGTCATCTCTTCATAGGGTGGTTGTGTGAATTCAACTGAGATCCTCCATGGAGGTCAGAGATTTGGTAAACTCCATGGATTATTTATGGAGTTCTAAGATGCTACATAAATAATATTATTAAGAGTCCCAGTGAATGCCTTTGGACTTATACATTCAGTTACCACATTTATTGGGCTTCCCTTGTAGCTCAGCTGGTAAAGAATCCACCTGCAATGCAGGAGACCTGGGTTCGATCCCTGGGTTGGGAAGATCCCCTGGAGAAGGGAAAGGCTACCCACTCCAGTATTCTGGCCTGGAGAATTCCATGGACTGTATAGTCCATGGGGTCGCAAAGAGTCAGACACGACTGAACAACTTTCACTTCACCACGTTTATTAAGGACCCTCTCTGGGCCAGGTGCTGGATGGATAGCAGTGACCAAGACTGACATGTCTCTGCCTGACTGACTAAGATAGGTGACATTCCAGTGACAGTATCAGCACTGAACACAACATCACACACTTGTGTAATTATAACTGGGGAAGGTGTCTCAGAGGGGAAGTGCCAGGGGCCATGAGATAGATAGAGAGGTGTGCTGGCCTAGTCTGAAGAGTCAAGGAGGGCTTCCTGGAGGAGGAGGTCCCTAAAGGACCATTGAGAGTCAGCTGGAGGAAGAGCAGGTGCAGAGTTTCTAACCAAAGCCTGGAGCAGGGCACAGTGGGTGGAGACTGGGGTGGATGAGGGTAGAGAAATGAGCCTGGGGAGGTGGGGGTAAGGACAGCATATTAAGGGTTTGGACCTTATCTTCCAGGGAAGTGACCTGATTAGACAGCTCTCTTTTCTGCTGTGCAGTGCAGGGGTGGGTGTGGCTACTGATGCTGTTACCGTGTCCTGGGGTGAGGAGATGGAGGACTGACTGGGCCAGGGCAGTGCCAAGGGATGGAGAGGAGGAGATGGATTTTCAAAGAACGTGGGTGCTCAGATTGGGTGGAGAAAGGGAAAGAGGGGAGGCCAGTGTGACTGCTGACTTCTGGCTCAGGCAGGACGCGAGGAGGGGGCTTTTAATGGTACCACTGACCAGGCAGGACTGGGATGAATGTGCTATATTTCTGAGGGGAGGATGCAGATGGAGGCATGAGGAAGGGAGGGGGAATCTCATAAAATCTTAGTATGACAGGGCCTCAGGGAGCCTCTAGCCCCTGCAAGGGTGGGGACACAGGGGCCCAGAGATAAGAAGGACTCGCATTGGTTCATGGCAGCCATGGGGAGTGAACCCAGTATTCCTTTCCATTTGATTCCCACTTCCTCAGGAAGCTGGCTGTGACCCTGATTGTGTCCCCATCCTGCCTCTCTCCCCATCCAGGTCATCCCAGACTGGAAGGAGCAGGAGTGGGACCCCGAGAAGCCCAATGCCTACGCGGGCATCTTCCACTTCCACTTCTGGCGCTTCGGGGAGTGGGTGGATGTGGTCATCGACGACCGGCTGCCCACGGTCAACAACCAGCTCATCTACTGCCACTCCAGCTCCCGCAATGAGTTCTGGTGTGCCCTGGTGGAGAAGGCCTATGCTAAGTAGGTGCCAGTGGTGGGTGGGTGGGCAGCCAGGCTAGGGTGGCACTGTTCATGGGCTCTGGAGGTCTTCCTCTCGCTGCAGTGCCACGCGCAGAGAGGTGAGGGGCAGGTGCAGACACAGCAAGTTCAGAGCCCGGAACCCAGAGCACAGCCAGCTGAACCTTCGCCAGATGCGGTAGAGGCCCGGACCGAAGGGCCCCTGGGCACCTGGTGCTGGGTCCTCATATAGTTACTCTCGCTTCTACCTGGGAACACGGAGGCCCAGGCAGCTGTCCTGCAGGTAGCGGGAGGCAGAGCCAGCAGCTCCATTTTGGTCGATGGTTCTTTTCCAAAGATCCGAGTTGCCAAGCCCTCCTTGGAGGCCCTGTTGGGGCTGTGCTGTCTCTAAGCCAGGCTAGTCGAGGAGGCTGGGCCAAACCCCTGCCTTTTCTGCTCCCCAGGCCTCCCCCTCCTCCGCCCATCGGTCTGTCCACCAGGCTGTTCAGCCATTCTAGCTTTGCTGAGCCCTCCTTCTGCTCTGTGCCAGGCCCCGTCTTGCCAGCATGGCCTTGAGCAAAGGTTTGCTGAGCTGTGGAAGGCTTTGGGGCGGAGTGACCTGTCCAGGCCCTGCAGGACAGGTGTAGGCCTGGGGCGCCCAGTAGGGTCAGAGACCAGTTGCTGGCTCTGGAGGAGTCTCTCCCTGGTTCCTCTTTCCAGACGCATTTGTCCCTCTCCTGGGACAGTGTGTGTGTGTGTGTTTAATTGTAAATGGAAAAATGAAAACTCCATCATCAAAAACAAACCTATTAAGGAAGCTTCCATTTTTATTTATTTTTATTTTTTCCATTTTTAATCTTAAGAAAGCAAACCCGCCCCCTGGTGGTCACTTGGTCACCAGGGTCCTAGGTGTAGGCTCCTCTCCCATTTGGGAGACCCACTTAGTGAGTTGGAGGCTTGCTGTCTCTTTTTTTTTTAAATAAAAGTTTTATTATTTTTAAAAAATATTTTATAATTTTAAAAAATTGTCCAAAGTATAACATTTATCATTTTGACCATGTGTAAGTATACAGTTCAGTGGCATCAGTTATAGTCACAATGCTCTGTACCTGTCATCACTGTCTGTAGCCAGTGTAGACGGTGATGGTTTTTCATCATCCTCAACATAAACTCTGTTACCCGCTAGACAGTAACTCCCTTTTTATCCCTTCTCCCAACCCTGGGAACCTCCATTCTGCATTTTTGTCTCAGTGAATTTCCCTGTTCCAGGTAGCTCATTTAAGTGGAATATTTGTCTTCCTGTGTCTGCCTTATTGCAGTTAGCATAATGTTTTCTGGGTCCATCAATGTTGTAGCATATATCGAAATTCTGTTCCTCTTTATGGCTGAGTGGTATTCTGTTGTATGTATGTGCTATGTTTTGTTTATGTTTGTCTGTTGATGGACACTTGGGTTGTTTCCACATGCTTAGTATTATGAATAATGTTGCTATGAACATTGGTGTGCAAACATCTGTTCGACTGTCTGCTTTAAGTTCTTTGGAATTTATATTGGGTTGGCTGAAAAGATCATTCATGTTCTTCCATAACGTCTTACAGAAAAACCCGAATGAGTATTTTGACCAATCCAGTATCTTGGCATGAATTCCTGAGTCATATTGTAGTTCTGTGTTTACATTAAAAAAAAAAATTTGTAGAGTATTTTTATTTATTTATTCATTTATTTTGGTTGTGCCATGCATCATGCAGGATCTTAGTTTCTTGACCAGGGTTTGAACCCATGCCCCCCGCATTGGGCGCGTGGAGTCTTAACCACTGGACCACCAGGAAAGTCCCTGTGTTTCACTTTTGAGTAACCACCAAGCTGTTTTCCACAGAGGGCTGTACAGTTTATGCTTATTTGTTTGTTTGTTTTTTAATTTGTTTACTTTTAAAATTATGAAATGAATACGTATCTGTTGCAGCAAATCCAGAAAATACAGAAAGCCATGCAGAGGATAATAAAATTCTCCCATATTCCTCCATAGTCTCCTAGGCCGCTGCTCTCCACTTCCCACTTCTGGGCCATCTGGATTAATAAGTGAGGCAGCTCCTCTGCTCGGGACAGCGTGACATTGTCCCCTCCAGGCCTGCCCCCTCTGCGTGTCTCCATTTCCTCGCTTTGTTCTCCCCACACCCTCCTCCACCACTGGCAGCTCTTCTCACATCTTTGATGCCTCTTTTGTTTGTTGGTTACTTTGCAAAACTTGTGCTGGTATTCTGTGGGCATATGAAATGGCATTTTGCCATATATCCCATTATGCTTCCCACATTCATATTCAGTATTCTTCCTTTAAGACCCCAACCCTAAAGGAGTCACAGCTGTATCTCTAGCATCTGACACGTTGCCCATGTGGTATTGTGCTCCGTTGCTCAGTCGTGTCCAACTCTTTGCAACCCCATGGACAGTAGCTCGCCAGGCTCCTCTGTCCATTCTCTAGGCAAAGATACTGGAGTGGGTTGCCATTTCCTCTCCAGGAGATCTTCTTAACTCCAGGGATTGAACTTGCATCTCGTACGTCTCCTGCATTGGCAGACAGATTCTTTCCACTGAGCCACCTGGAGTAGATACTTAATCTTTTTGAAATGTATACATTGTAGACAGAATTGGAATCCGACTGTATTGCTTTTTCAAATGTCACAAGAAAGCACTAGCATTTTCCCTGCAGTAAGAATTCCTTTAGCGTCTTGCTCAATGGTTGCTTAATGTTCCAGAGTTGAGATGCAGCATTAGCTTTTAAAATCAATTCCCTGTTGTTAGACATTTAGATGATTTCCAGTTTTACATTGTTATTAATAATGTTAGTCATCCAGAAATGATACGTCAAAAGACATATGAACTTTTAACAATTTTGAAAAGAATTGCTGGCTTTCTAGACAGCTAATTTTTGAAGATGAGGCTGTGAAGGCAAAGGAGAATTTGAGTGACAAAATGGTGTGGTTCACGGGATGGATGTTGGCCTTGGAGCCGGAGACCTGAGTTTTGGAATTGGCTCTGTAGTGTGACCTGCTGTGTGACCTCAGTGGTTCTCTTGACCTCTCTGAGTCTCAGAAATCACCCCTATAAGGCTGGGGAATGTGAGCTAGGAGTTCTTTCCACATTGCTTCCAGGCTGGCGGGCTGTTACCAGGCCCTGGATGGAGGCAACACAGCGGATGCGCTGGTGGACTTCACAGGTGGGGTTTCTGAGCCCATCGACTTGACCGAGGGTGACTTTGCCAATGATGAGGCCAAGAGGAACCAGCTCTTTGAGCGTGTGCTGAAAGTGCATAGCCGGGGAGGCCTCATCAGCGCCTCCATCAAGGTGAGCACAGAGAGACAAGCCCCAGAGGCTACCCCTACAACCCTTGGGGTTGGGAGTGACTATGGCTTCCCAGGCAGAGTCCCTACCCAGCTTGGCTCATAAATCAGACCCTCGGCCTCATGGGAGGAGGGGAGCAGTTAGAGGGTGCAGCCCCTTCCCAGGGCTGGACAGCACAAGCCTCAGGCCCCCTGCCGTAAGGCCTTGCCCACACTGTTCAACCAGCACCCCCATTCTGGCCCTCTCGTATTGGACAGATGGGTGTCTGTACATTTGAGAGTCCCTCAGCCAAGCTTTGAAACAGTCAAGCCATGAGGTGGCTGGAAGAGGGGAGGGAGCCCCTTCCGCCTGCTGGCACAGGCCCGGGAGCTGCAAGAGGATCGTCTTATTTCACTGACTGCTCGTGTTTTGGGTGGGAAAGTGGGGACTCAAGCAGAATTTGAACCCACGTTTGGCTGACCAAGTGGTGTACTGATAAAAGGACTGTCTGGAAAATTAAAAAGCCCTGATTGGCTGACTTCTGTGGTGTGAATACTCCCAGCAGGGTTGATGTCAAGATAATGTTTTAACAGCCAAGTTGCAAAATTGCGTCAGTGCTAGAGCTGTGGGCTGACCCCACTGCAGGTCCCAGGCTTTGTAAAGGGCTGTGAATGCCAGGTCAGTCCCTGCTAAGTCACTTCAGTCGTGTCCGACTCCATGCAATCCCATAGACGGCAGCCCACCAGGCTCCCCGGTCCCTGGGATTCTCCAAGCAAGAACACTGGAGTGGGTTGCCATTTCCTTCTCCAATGTGTGAAAGTGAAGTCGCTCAGTCGTGTCCGACTGCCAGCGACCCCATGGGCCGCAGCCCACCAGGCTCCTCCGTCCATGGGATTTTCCAGGCAAGAGTACTGGAGTGGGTCACCATTGCCTTCTCCGGTCAGTCCCTAACGGTAGAGAAAGGAGGTTGTCGGGGCTGCCATTCCTGCCCTGTCCTGTAGGGGGCGGTGTGCCCTCTGCTCCGACTGGCCCCGCCTCTGAGCAGCTGTGTTCCACAGGCTGTGACAGCGGCAGACATGGAGGCCCGGCTGGCGTGTGGCCTGGTGAAGGGCCACGCGTACGCCATCACGGATGTGCGCAAGGTGCGCCTGGGCCATGGCCTGCTGGCCTTTTTCAAGTCGGAGAAGCTGGACATGATCCGCCTGCGCAACCCCTGGGGCGAGCGGGAGTGGAACGGGCCCTGGAGCGACACGTGAGGCCTGAGGCGGGGGAGTGGGTGGGGCGGTGGGAGGGGAGGCACGGGGCGGGCCCCAGGTGGGTGGGTCGAGGGCCCGGGGCTTGGGCAAGGACGGGGTGGGCTTCCTGGAGGAGGTGGCACCAGAGCTGGGGCCTTGAAGGATTTGGGGGGAGGATGACATTAGGAGAAGACTGTCTTTGGAGGGAGCTTATGGGGGCGGATTCAGTGTGGGTGGAGGTCTGAAGGTGGGGAGGAGCTGATTCCTTAGGGGATGTAGAGATCCCTCTGGTGCAAGAGTGAGGAAAGCAGGAAGGGAGGCCTCCAGGGGCGGGAACAGGGGTGACTGCCCTGTGCTTGGCTCATGGCCCTGGTGAGGCCAGGAGCGGAGTGGAGTCCAGACCCCCACTGAAGGAGCTCCCTTCATTGAGAGTCAGCTCCCCCTTCCCCCCGAGCCTAAGCTTGGCTCCCAGACCCCTGGGTCCAGGCATGATGGCAGCCCACAGTTACCTGCAAGAGCGGGCAGAGAAGGCTTCTTGGAGAGGGACTGGGCATGGCCCTGGTGCCCCCAACCACCCCCAGGCTGATGGAGGCCTGTTGCTGAGCCGTCCCTCATGCCTCCTTGTCGCTTGCCAGGGTGGCTCTGATGGGGTTCCTCCTCTGATCCTCTCCCCTCTTACCTCCCTGTGCTCACATCCCAGCTCAGAGGAGTGGCAGAAGGTGAGCAAGAGTGAGCGGGAGAAGTTGGGTGTGACCGTGCAGGATGACGGCGAGTTCTGGTGAGTGTGCCCTTGCCCAGGGCGGGTGTCCGGGGCTGAGAGGGGACCCTCCTGTGTTCCAGGCAGGGAGCCCTGGACAGGACGGCAGGAGTCAGGGCTCTAGCCAGTGCCTCACTGTCAACTTGTTGTGTGACCTTGGACATGTCACGGCATCTTTTTGGGCCTGTTTCTTCCTCTGTGAAGTGAATTGGGCAGAATGGACCATTTTGTCGCCATAGTTCCCCACTTCCCACCTCAGGGGGCCCTGGGCTGCTCTGGTACCCAGGCGGAGCCCTCGGCAAGTAGACCAGGGTACTAGACCAGGTACTAGTGGGCAATTGACCAGAGGATATAGCGCACATGGCTGCCTGATGCCAAGAGCAGGTAGGAAGAGGAGAGGCCTCATAGAGGCCTTTGCATCTCAGGGTGCAAAGGAGCCTTGTAGAGACCCAGCCCAGAGACAAGAGAGCATGCTTGGGTTTGGGGAGAGTGAATTTAGGGAGGCAAGGCAGGTGGGCTGGGAAGATGGCAGCAGCCTGGCTTAAAAAGCATATTCATGATTCCTGCATTCATTCACTGCTACATTCATTCATTCTATGTTTAGCTCTGGCTGCATGCTAGGCTCGGTGTCTTTCTTTAGCAGGACACTATTTGGAGACTGAGCCACTTCCTGGAAGGGTACAGGGTACCCTGTGTGTGGGAGATGCTGTGAGGGCCCCAGGCAGACCTAGAGGTAGATGGCAGTGATTCTGGTACCCTAGTGTGGTCCCCTCCTGCACGTGTCAGGGGGGCTGCTGCAGGAGGCCCCCCTAGGCCCTCTGGTTTGGGCTCCTGTGGATGAGATCCACTTTGCCCAGTCTGGCTCAGGGGCCAATTGCATTAAAAGAGCAGTGGAAAACCCCCATCAGGAATGGGAAGAATTTCTTGTAAGGCCTTTCTTATGTCTTCACCCTTGATGCATATATGTGCATATTCTCATGTATGTGCACACTTGAAGGGGGGTGGGCCCTTCCCCTCCTCCCACCCAGGCTCCTGGAGGGTGGCAGCATCCTGGTCACTGCAGCTCACCTAGCAAGGGGTTCATACCATTAGCTGTGGACTATAATGGATGGAAATATGCTTTAGAAACTGTAGAGGGCTGTACATATCAGTTATTCACACTAGTAATGATTGTAACAGCCAGCCTTTGCCAACTCCTTTCTGCCAGAAGTCGTACTACATGTTTTTATTGCATAGCTTAATTGCTGTGCAAACTCTGTGAAGTAGGTAGCTGTTGTTAGATTGATGCCCATTTTACAAAGCAGGAGACTGAGGCCACAAGAGACGTGAAGGGTCCCTGTGATGCCATGTCTGCACTTGCTGTGTGGGCTGTGGTCTAGAGGGTGTGGGGCGAGTGGGTAGCTGGCGGGGAGGGGGACTGGCCGGCTCAGCCCCTTGCCACACCCAGGATGACCTTCGAGGACTTGTGCCGCTACTTCACGGACATCATCAAGTGCCGTCTGATCAACACATCTTACCTGAGCATCCACAAGACGTGGGAGGAGGCCCGGCTGCGTGGTGCCTGGACACGGCACGAGGACCCACTGCAGAACCGCAGCGGGGGCTGCATCAACCACAAGGACACCTTCTTCCAGAACCCACAGGTGGGGCTCCTTGGGGATCCCCCCCACCGCCTCTCGAGCAGCTGTGGGGCCCCCGCCAAAGTCCTGCCATGGCCTCCTGCGTGACCCTGGGTACATCCCTATTCCTCCGTGGATCTCAGCACATCTGTACAGTGGGGGTGGATGGGCATGTGTGGGTGGTCCTGTCACCCCCAACCTCATGATCTGACCTGCATGTGATCAAGATGAGGAAATAGGCCCTGAGGACTAATGAGTGTCCAAACAAGAGCTATAGGGACATTATATTTAGAGGCCGAGCTCAGGCTCAGACCCCTTGTTTCCACACACAGTGCTGCTCCTTCTGGGGAACTCAGCCAGGCTGACTCAGCACAGAGACCCCTTCTCTGCAGCCTCCTCGGTCATGACCCTGGCACCCACCTAGTCCTCACTTCTGGTGTGCCTTCACTGAGCACCAACTGCATGCAGTCTTAAAGCTGAGCATCCATCGTCTCCCCAAGTCCTCCCACCCAGCACGCAGCGTTGGGCATTGGCAGCCCATCTCACAGATGAGGGGCTGAGACTCAGAGAGGTGATGTGACTCGCCCAAGCACACACAGCTTCCGGAGCCAGCGAGCCCATCTTCTTCAGTATGGTCACACTGCCTGTCCTTCTTCCTCTGCCCCACCCACAGTACATCTTTGATGTCAAAAAGCCAGAAGATGAAGTGCTGATCTGCATCCAGCAGCGGCCAAAACAGTCCACCCGCCGGGACGGCAAGGGTGAAAATCTGGCCATTGGCTTCGACATCTACAAGGTGAGGCCAGCCGGACCCCTGCTCTGGGTGAGGAGAGTCCGAGCTGCCTGGGCCTGGGGGAGAACATTCTGGAACACTTTGGTCTCCAACCTCTCTGTGTCACCCTGGACACGTTGGCTGATGCCATGGGCATGCTGTGACATGGGTCCTGTTTCAGTCCCCACAGACGCCCAGCCTGCCTTGCATTGGCCCCATGGGAGCTCGCAGCCTGACTTCTTCCTGCCCCAGAACCACAGGCTGTCTGGACAGGAAAGGGGAGGATTGCTGGTGGTCAGGGCTGGGCTCTGGGAGGCCCCACGTTGCTCCCTCCCTCGGGGTCTGGTTCCCCTGAGTCGGAGGCCTTGCTGGGGGCACTGGGAGGGGGCATCCTGGGCAGAGCCAGGTGGGGTTCTCAGCAGCGGCTCCATGGTCCGGGCCCCGAGGCCTTCCACGTGTTGTGACACCCCGTGTGTGATGACAGTCAGCATAGAGGACAGTGTGGGCCTGCCCGACACCAAGAACCCAGTGAAACCATGTGTACCTGCTAGGTCCATGGCCTGAGTCGAGGCCCTGGCCTTTGATGTGCTGGGTCGTATTATGACAGTTCGTTCATGTCAGTGTGTTGGGACACTCACTGTGTGCTAATGTTGTGACTTTGACGTGACATGACCTTTGCTGATGTGATTGTAGCTTATCATGGTGCTTATTCCAGGAATGATGGTCTAGCATATCCTAGTAGTCGGTGATGTCATTTCATGGACACATGCTGTGACCTGGTCAGACAGTGCTACTTGGTTCTGTTGTGATGTCAGAAACCCCACGGACACTGTCACCAGGGGTATTCCCATTGCCACTGCCTCCCACCCCAACAGCTTCAAGAGATATAATTCACAGACCATGTGATTCATTCATTTAAAGTGTATTCATAGAGTTGTGTGGCCATCATCACAATCAACTTTAAGACACTTTCATCACCTGCAAAAGAAACTTCATGCCCTTTGGCCGACATCACCCAATGTCATCTACCTGGACCTCCCACTGCCCCCCCAGCCCTAGGCAGAGGCTGGTCTAGTTCTGACTGTAGATTTGCCTGTTCTGGGCCTCGAGGGGGAGGGAGATGGGAGATGCGGGGTGGGATGAGAGCAGGGCTCTGTGAGACCCAGCGCTTCTGCCCCGGCAGGTGGAGGAGAACCGCCAGTACCGCATGCACAGCCTGCAGCACAGGGCCGCAAGCTCCATCTACATCAACTCCCGCAGCGTCTTCCTGCGCACGGAGCAGCCTGAGGGCCGCTACGTCATCATCCCCACCACCTTCGAGCCAGGCCAAGCTGGCGAGTTCCTGCTCCGAGTCTTCACTGACGTGCCCTCCAACTGCCGGTGCGTGGGGGCCAGCTGGGAGCCAGGCTTGGCTGGGCCCTGGGCCACTCCAGGCTGACCCACTATATGCAGCCCAGACATGTTCAGTGTCGTCCAAAGGCGTGGAGCCTGGGCCTCCAGCCTCCCTGGGCTGACATCAGCACCCATCTCTTTTGCCTTTCTCTCCTCCCTATCCCAGCCTCTCTCATCCATGTGAAGGAACAACTGCTCACGTGTGCGCAGCACTTCACAGTTTACAAAGGAGCTTTCACTCTTGTTGTTTGCTCTTCCTGAACCCCGGGTGGGAGGTCTGACCCCTCCATTTTACAGATCAGAATTGGGGATTGAGGTTGGGGGTGGGTTTCTAAGGTCATGCGGCCAGTGGTAGAGTCCTCCTAGGTAGACTCTGAAACCACCCCAAGCCTGCCTCGGTGCACGCCTGTGTGTCCCCACACTGCCCTCTCACCTGGTAGGCAGCCCAGAGTCCCACATCCCAGACTGGGGAGGCAGCTTGTGGAATCAGTGGGCCTCAGTCCGGCCAGTCTGTGCTGTGTGGGCAAGCCCTTTTCCCCAGTGAGCCTAAGTAAGTAAGTGTTAGTCACTGAGTTGTGTCCAACTCTTTGAGACCCTGTGGACTGTAGCCTGCCAGGCTTCTCTGTCCATGGGATTTTTCCAGGCAAGGATACTGGAGTGTGTAACCATTCCTTTCTCCAGGAGATCTTCCCAGTCTAGGGATCGGATCCCAATCTCCTGTATTTGCAGCCAGATTCTTTACCATCTGTCACCCCCGAAGCCCAGCAAGCCCGATGCTTCCTAGTGTGTAAAACGGGCCTAATAGTTACCTAGCTCTCAGGGCCTTGTGAGGATTAGAAACAATACCTGCTCCATCCCAGCAGAGTGCTTGGCACTCCGTAAGGCATAGCACACTGCTTTTCCCTGGGGTTGGGATGCAGCCGCAGGAAGCTGACGGGGGTTTGTTTGCCCGAGCCCAGCATTGTGTGGACTCAGCACTGCTCCTTCCCCTGCCTTGCCCTCTCAAATCCCCTGACTTTCCGCCTTCCTGATCCCTCTCCATCACCTCCCACCTCTCCTCCTCTGCCCCGCACCAGGGAACTGCGTCTGGACGAGCCTCCCCGCACCTGCTGGAGCTCCCTGTGTGGCTATCCCCAGCAAGTGACCCAGGTTCACGTCTTGGGGGCCGCCGGTCTCAAAGACTCCCAGACAGGTGAGCTTACCTGGAGAAAACCCCCAGCCCTCATCCCCCAGCCACAGACACAGCCTCCATATCTCTCCTGCTCTTCCTCCCTGAATGAGCAAAGCTTTCCTGACATCCACTTTGGGCCCAGCCTCGGGATGAAGCTGAGCACGTTGAGTGGAGCAGGCTCTGCCACCTGCCTGTGGGCAGCCTCCAGTGTGCGGGGCAGTCAGATGCAGGATCAGGCAGCTGGGAGGGAGGGTTCAGGGAAGGCTTCCTAGAGGAAGTGGCCTTTCTACAGGTCGTGGATATGTTAAGGTATGGAACCTGGTACTCTGGGAAGGGGGAACAGCCTTGGTAAAGGTATGGAGGCCAGAGATTACCAGTGTACCCCTTCTTATCTCTGGAAGTTAGGGAGTTGGCCAGGCTCTGGTCTCCCTTCTCCTGAAAACATGAGCCCAGGCTTCTGCTTCCAGAGTTCTATCTCATCCGGGCCCTGCCCCAGGCCCTACTCTCACCCCATTGCCTACTCCCTTATATAGGGGCTAACTCTTACGTGATCATCAAGTGTGAGGGGAACAAAGTCCGCTCGGCCGTGCAGAAGGGCACCTCGACACCTGAGTATGATGTGAAAGGCGTCTTCTACCGCAAGAAGCCGAGCCAGCCCATCACTGTGCAGGTGAGCCGTGCTGTCTGCTGTCCCTCCTGGGCTCCTGGCCTCACGTTTCCCCACTCAGAATGACTGAGCTCAGTGCGGCAGGGACCACAGGGACCCAGGAACGCTGGGTTCTTGTTCCTGCTCTGTGCCTGACCTGGTGTGGCCTTGAGAATTCTCTTGGGTGTGCTTCCTGGAGCCCCGGAGTCCCCTCCATGGGCTGGGTGTATCGGGTGGATAAGCTGGAGTGACTGTGGGACACAGCAGGGTCAGTCTCCCAGCCACAGACAGTGATCACCTCTGCCCACCTTGCCCCACAGCCTTGGGAGTTGTTCCTTAAATTCCCCAGGTGGCAGATGGAGGGGGTGGCTATTGCCTGAGAACAGAGGATCAGAAAGCCAGGGTCCTGGGGCTTCCTGGTGGTCTGGTGGTAAAGAATCCACTTGCCAATGCAGGAGACAGGTTCAATCCCTGGTCCAGGAAGATCCCACATGCCACAGAGCAACTAAGCCCGCGTGCCACAGCTGCTGAGCCTGTGCTCTAGAGCCTGGGAGCTGAGACTTGCTGAAACCTGAGCACCCTAGAGCCTGTGTTCCTCAGGAAGAGAAGCCTGCACAGCGTAACTAGAGAGTAGTCCCTGCTCGCTGCAACTAGAGAAAAGCCTGGGCAGCAATGAAGACCCAGCACAACCAAAAATAAGTAAATGATAAAATTAAAAAATAAAAAAGCAAGCCAGGGTTCTGGACGTGTGCTTCCTTACCCTCTCAGGTCAAGGTGGCCATGATTCTGAGTTCATTGACAGGAAGCCCTGTCCCCAAGACCCAGGCCAGCATCTCTCTGGGTGAGAAACCATCTGTACACAAATGCCTGGGGACCCTGGGGAAGCTACTGCACTGGGTCCCACTGGATCTAATCACAGACCCATAGATGTTGGGGTTGAAAGAACCCATAGGGGCTACTGATCCAACCCTCATACTAAAGATGGGGAAACCAGAGCAGGGGGTGTATCATTTGTCCAAGGTCACCCAAGGTCAACAACAGAGCTAATAGTGACAGACTTTATACACGGAAGGGAGCTTTGACAGATGGGAGGAAGCCACAGGCTCCGGAAGGGGCGCAGCCTTGCCCAAGGTCCCCGGTGAGGCAGAGGCAGTGCAGAGCTCCTCCTTAGCCCATCTTGTGCCGCAGGAAGGAGACTCAAGGCTCTGCCGCTGTTGCCGCACCCCCACAGACCCATACTCCTCTTCTCAGCAATGACCCTGCACCATCCTCTGTCTCTTTCCAGATCTGGAACCACCGAGTTCTGAAAGATGAGTTCCTGGGCCAGGTGCACCTGAAAGCCAACGCGGATGACCTCCAGGCCCTGCACACCCTCCACCTCCGGGACCGTAACAGCCGGCAGCCCAGCGACCTGCCAGGCACCGTTGCTGTGCGCGTGCTCAGCAGTGCCTCCCTCACGGCCGTCTGATACACACCCATCTACCTGCACCTGCAGTTCTCATCACCATTTGCATGTCCCCAACCTGGCCAGGGACTAGCCTGGGAGCAGGACACTGGGGTCCTTTTCCCACCTTTGCACTGACCTGCTGTGTGACCTTGGGAGGTCTCTGCCCCTCTCTGGGCCTCAGTGTCCCAAGGACCCCAAAGCATTCCCTTCTCATGGAGGAGTCTTCTTGCCTGAGATTTAAAATAGCGCCCCCTACCCCAACTGCCACCATGGCTAAGGGACTCTGTCCATTGAAAACCTTTTTCCAAGGTCCTGCTGTCCGCCAATGGAGTGCCAAGATGTCACTTGTTTACACACAAACTGCCACATCCCCAAGTCCCATCCTTGTCCCACGTGTCCCCAGGGCCTGCCCCCGTGTCCCAGACTTGCTGTCTCTGTCACCTTCATCTGGTTTTCTAGCCACCTTGAAAGGATGCTTGGCGCTTGGGTTCCTGCTAAGGCTGGAATTAGAGAAGTGTGCAGGTGACATCTGTCTGTTCTCCAATCCTACCCACTCACCTGCCTGTCGTTCATTTATTCAAAGGAGATTTGCCAAATGAATAAACAATGCCCTTGAGACCGCAGATGGAGCCAGGCCCCTCCCCCAGCTCTGGGAGACCTGGCGGCCGTCCTGGGCCTCTCCTCTGCTCTCAGGTCCTCTCAGAGGCAGATGCCCAGAGGGGCTGCAGTCGCCTTCTCCTTCTAGGTTCCGATTTCATTCCCAGCCTCTGGCTCAGGGTCCCTGGAGAGGCGGTGGCAGTGGTGTTGAGGAAGGGCGTCTTGCCCCCACTGCCCTGATGTGGGAAGGAGTGTGTCTGGTGTAGTGGGCCAGCAGGTGGAGGGGGGCGTGGGGACTCCATGGGAGGCACACGCTCCCAGGGCACCCTCTGCTGCAAGACCTGGGCTTTTCCTCGGAGCAGAGGCTCTGGGGTGGTGGTCTCCAGCCTGCAGGGTTCAGGTCACCCATCATGCTTGGCAGGAGATGGTAAATCCACTGCCTGACCAGAGGCCCCTCCACCAACACTCCCCCAAAAACACGGCTGAGGAGCCATAGCCCTCTTGCCGCCCGGACCAAAATACTCCTTTTAGTCCTCAATGTTTTATATTCTTTCCGTTTTAACTCTCAATTTTAACCAGGGGTTTTTAAAGGAAAACTGAAAGCCTGAACCCTTTTTTCTTCTTAAACTCCACTTCCTGTGATCCTCCGATTTTATTTTGATCTGCTTGGGGAGGGACGTGAGCGAGGTCATACCTTCTCAGAGGAGGTCTGGAGGTGGATGAAGAAGACAGGGGTTTGTACTGGTATGTTTTGCCAACTGGCGTCAGCTGTGTTCTTAGAGTGTTAGGGCTGTGGTCAGTTTTGGGTCTTGTCTGTGCCCTTCTTGGGCTCCAGACCAGGTATTGTAAATGAAAACGTCTAGTTGATTCAAGATGGGGGAATTCCTGTGGCCTCCCGGGAATTCCTTCAGGGAAACGTGACTTTTTGGCTCCAGTTCTGGCTCTTCGGTGCAGTGTCCTGGCTGGATCTGCTAGATCCTTGACTTTGCCTCCTTTCTCCGGCCCACTCTGCCCCTGTGTCCTGGTCCTGGAACATGGAGGGGCCAGGAACTGAAGGACAAGGAGGACAAGAGGATTCCTTTTCCTGAACCTGAGCCTAGGGTGAGGACTTTGTGTGTGATCAGGAGCAAGTTGCTTAAACCTCCTGTGCCTCGATTTCCCCCTTCTGCAAAGTGGGGCCAATAATTCTCATTTGTCAGCACTCTTCCTAACAAGTGCTGAATAAGGGCAAAACAGTACCCTTTCTCTGTGTATCTCTATATGCATATGCACTATACATGGTCATGTAATCACCACTTCTCAATGTCTATTGGAAAGGAAGATTCGAGAGTCGGGTGGAGAGGCGAGGGCCAGGTAAGCCAGCCTGGGACCTCTGGGGCCCACACGTGGGTGTTTGCTCAGCCATGCGCCCCTGGGCTCTGGGGGAAACCAGGGCCAACTGGGAGCTCTGTATGTGCTTCTGCCTCGGGGCTGGGCACTGTCCCCTGCCCCCTTCCCAAACAAAACTGGCTCAGCAGTCCTGCCCTTGCCTCCCACCCCTCTGGGTGGGCCAGGCTGGCTCCTGGCTGTGTGATGATCTGGGTCCCAGGAGGTCCTGGGGCCTGAGTATGTGAAGATGGAGGTCTTTTGGGCTGGGGCTGGAGGGTGGGTGGGGAGAGCAGCTGCTGCTTGCCTGGTGCACCCCGCAGCTCACAGAGGCCTCAAGTCCCCTTTTGTGGATGGGTGAGGCCCCTGCTCCGTGCCCCCCTGACATGGGTGGCCTCCGTGTCACCCTGACTCACCCCTCAGGGTCGAGCTCAGGGTCAGGTGAGTGGAGACCTGTTCTGTTCTCAGAATAAATGTTACCACGATTCCGGAAAGGCCTTCCTGTGTCTTTGTCCCTGGAATGACAGTGAAGGGGACGTTTCCTGGGCCTGGGGGACTCTCCTCTGGTCTGAGAGTCTCGTGAGGGAGTTGCAGCTGAGGCTGGACTCTGCTCCCCCTTGCTCGCCGGGGGGAATGGGGTTGCCATCATAGGGATCACTCAGTTGTCCCTTCACCTGGCCGCCTTCCACGTCTGTCCCAGGCACCGGGAGTGCAGGGAGACGGCCACAGTGCGTTCTCTGGGGCAGTCTACAGACTGGTGAGGGACACAATGAGTGGTGAGGTGGTGTGGGAGCCTGCTGGGGGCAGGAATAGCGGGGGGGCAGTTGCATGAAGGAGGCCAAAAAGATGGGCTTGTGGGGACACAGTGGTGGGGGGGTGGACCAGAGTGGAGGCTGTTGGAGGGAAGATGCCGGCAGCTCAAGCCAGCAAGCCAGGGCTGGCGGTGAGGAGAAACCGGGTACATTTTGGAGATAGAATGGACAGAACTTGGTGAGGTTGAGGGAGGGGAACAAGAGAGAGATAACTGAATTAAGGCCAATATTTCCCCCTAAGATGGAGAGAAGGACATGATGAGTGAGGTGCCCACCTTAGCTTGGTGCCTGGCCCCTGGTGGGTGCTGAGTAGCTAGACAGCATCTGGAGAGAAACACATGCCCTACCCCTCACCACTTCCCTCCGTCCCTGCACTCTGCCTGGAGCACCATTTCCTCTCCAGGGCTCAGTTTTCCCATATGTGTGAGGCTGACACCCATTGCCCGCCCACTCTGGGACGCTTGGCAAGAGATGATTAGCGGGGGTGCTAGGTACCAAGAGGAACCTCCCCAGATGGCAGCTGGGAGTCCAGCAGTGGGCATGGGGTCCGGGAGCAACTCGTATCATGGGCAGCTGGTCAAACGCACTCTCGCAGCCAGGGGTCTTCAGGAGTCAGGATCGTCGGGTTAGGGGGGCCCCAGCCCCAGCAGAGGCTGAGTCCAGTGCTGTCACCCACTTGCTCCAGGCACAGGCTGGGTGCTCAGCCTTGCTCTCCAGGGGGCGCCATTGGGCCATTGGTTACCCCCTCCACACCGGGTGCCCTACACCATCCTGTGGGTGACAGCCAGGTGGCCCCTTCCCTCAGGCACATCCCAGTTACAGAGAATTCAAAAGAGCGCCTCCCTCCACCCCAGCCAAACCTGCCCTGGAGAGGCCTGCTTGACTGGGGCAGCTGCCAGGGTCGCTGCAGGCGAAGGGCCCCGAAATGCAAGGGCCAGGTCTCAGCAGGGAGTCCTGGGTGTCACTGTCTTCCCGGACGCTAATAGCGAACACTTTATTTATTCTTCATTGTTTACTCTCCTCCCCTACTGTAAAAGCACATTTTCCACTTCAATTTGCTTGAGTCACACAGTCAGCTGGTTTGAGAAAGTTTTCTGGATGATGAGTGACCACAGGCGCCCCCGACCCTTACCCCCCAGAACAAGCTGTGGGTCGGTGGTGAAGTGATGAGCTTCAGGGGGACACTTCTGAGGAGAGCCCTCAGGAAGTGGCCTGGGGCAATGGCAGTGTGTGGGGGTGGGAAGGAAGGGCCAGAAGGCAGGGCTCGCTACCTCCCTCCCTGCTGGCTGGTCCTTTGCTCTCATGGCCGTTTTGCAGAGAAGGAACCAGGCGTGGCAGAGAGCAGGCAAGGGCCTGGACCCAGCAAATCAGTGACTGAGTCAGGATCAGAACGAGGTTTCCTGAGAGCCCAGGTGCTGAGAGCAGGAGGTGGGTGTTACTGCAAAGGATAGGAGGCAGCTGAGGTTGGGGTGAGGGGCCCGGGCCTGGCCCCACGCTGGTCAGCTGCACAGCCGAGAAGGGCCTCAGTGTCCCTGCCTCCCCGCGGGGCGGCAGGTCCTCCCTGCCAGGGCCCTGGGCAGCACAGCCCGCCTCCCAGGCTGATGTCACGACACCCAGACCTTCGAGGGCCCTCCGACTCCGCCTCCCGGGGGAAGGCTCCGGAGTGGGAAGGCGGGGGCAGCAGTGCTGGCCAGAGAACTGCCCTGGGCAGGAAAGAGAGGGAGAGACAGAGAGGGAGAAAGTCATGCTGTGAAAAACCCAGAGCGACTCCCAGAGCAGGTCACGGAGTGAGACAGAAGAGGGGGCGTGTGTCTGCAGGCTGGCCCAGGCCCACCGCCCCAGCTTCCTGGGCCCTCCTTGCACGGCAGCTGCAGTCTGGGTGCCGGGCAGCTGGGAGCCAGGTAAGGACAGGGTGCTCGCTCTCCTGGGCACCGGGGGAAAGGTTTGCTAAATTTCGGGGGTGTCAGGGGTTCGGGCCACCCTGGAGCTACTGCCCTCACTTGCTCCTGGTCTGGGCCCCCTGTCATCTCTCCGACAAGAGCCAGGACGGGAAGGGAGGCTGGGAATGACATGCAGGGGCTGGGGGAAGGAGTGGCAGAGTCCTCTGCCCCTGACTCTGTCTCCTTAGGCCTCTGTCAGCCACTATCTTTTCTCTCTCTCCTTGGGTAAGTCACTTAGTCTGTGCCTTAAATTTCCCATCTGTGAAATGGGAAATGAAGCCCCATCAGTCAGGGTTGTTAGGGGGAC